GGTGTGGTAAAAAATTTAAATTGCTAAGTTTGAATCGTACAAATACCCTGTCCACCATTATTCCCCCTCATAATGTGGAAATACTCGCAGCTGGAATTACTCACAAATGGTTCCCTGGTTTTTCGGCAAAAAATTATCATGTAGCGACTGTTCCGCTCAAGTAATGTAGTAATGTAGGACAAAATACGACCAAGAGAAGACGAATCAATGGACCTCATAACAATGCTAGTTACCACACTTCGGTTCGAAAATGGGCCATCCGCCATATAAATTCTATCTATTTCCACAAGTCGCCAGAATATGCAGATTCGCGCTACTACTTCTAAAATGTTTGATACTGAAAATTGGATATATTGGTCCATGACATGGAGTAGCCCCCACCGGGGTATTTTGAAGGTTCTTGCCACATTTTTCGACCCAAATAGCTGTAATTTAGCATTCCTGTTTCTTAAAGGGTAAAATATATATTGGAAAGAAATTTCTAATAATATTTATAAATATTTTGACACCTAGTTTACATTTGGAGTTCTCGTCCACTTTTAAGTTTTTTTATGGTCTGTATTTTTGTTTTGTTCCAATCGAAGCATTCCATGTTCTTGGTGGGTAAAATAATACAATTTTAAATTCGCAAACTATATACCGATTGTTGAAGGTCCTAGCCGAATTTTCCAATCGAACTATTTATATGTAGTTGGGACAAAATTTCCTCTATGTAGACATTTTGCACTATGGGTCCATGACATGTCTTCCATATAAAGGTTCCGTCCGAATTTAGGTATTCTTAAAGCACATCTCATGATTGAGAGTACAAAATCGCATACGATTCCGCATATTAATTTGTATATACCCCGAGTAAAATATAAACAATATACTAAAATTAAAATCGTCATATCAGATCCCAGAATACGTGGGCTACTATATACACATTTTTGGACAATGCTATGCTAAGTGTTGCATTACATGGATTCAACTTGCTGAACAATTTCCTACAATAATTTAACGCAAAGATTCGACGTCGATTGTCACGAAATGGGAACATGGAGGAACTTTATATGACGATCAATCGCCCCAGATTGAATACCGTATAAAGATTTGTTCTCGTTGGACAATTCGATAATCGTCCAAAAATGACTAGGGTCGATTGGTATAAAAAGACTTAAGGGGACCTCCCCCCATTTTCGGTGTCAAAAATTTTAATTTAGTTTGTTTTATTTAATTCGATTCTGCGCTAATTCAAGAATGTCCTTACAAAATTTCAAGTGAAAATCTCAAGAACTCTTGAAGATATAGTCGATTTTTTGCGACAGCATCAAGTGACGGCAGACGGGCTTCTCAAACTTTAAACCTATTTTTCGCGAAGCAGTGTTTTTTCGAATGGCGGGCACGATAACTCAAAAACTAATAATCCAATCGGTTTCAAATTTTGACACGATTCTCTGGGAGTGTAGAGATATCGTATGAACTAGGATAAAGCCAATAGGTTAAGAACTTTCCTTATTTTTTCATATAAACTTGGTAGCCGATTTAAGGACCTTATTAATGTTTGTGGTTCTTGGCAAAATATTTGTAATATTTGTCCACGTTTTAATGTAGCCTCAAAGACCATTGACGACAATCTCAGAATTTTTGTAGGGTCCTGGACATATGTGCCAATTTGTTAAACCATCCACCTGATTAAGCCCTCAAAGTTGGATATTTTTGTATAGACCCTTTCAGGCTGAATTTTGCAGTTTTACTTGTTACAATTTTCCACAAAATGTTAATTGTGATATTTGTCTCTTTGAAATCAATTTTTATGAACAAATTCGAAAATTTTAATAAATTATTTAACAATAAATATAACAATAAATATTATTAATTTTTTAAATTTAATATTACATATATACTTGTTTGGAAGACTACAAATTTGTGTGTATTATGTGTGTTTTAATAAACATAAGTATGTAATAAATTTGAATATTAAATTATTTTAATTATAAAAAACTAAATTAACATTGACTAACCTTAAGGAATCATTATGTTATCACGTGTAAGAACAGCCGCTGATGAAGATAACGAAGAATTTGAATGACTGTTGGAGTAATGATGTGAGCTGCTACCACCGCCACAACTGCCACTGCCGAGAATATTACTTTCAATTTCCCCTATGGCATCGTCAACGTCATCAGCATCAGCATCCGCACCATCATCGTCCTCGTCATCATCAGTGATGCCATTATTATTCCGCTCATCGGTTAACGACAATTTGCAAATTTCATCAACATCCTCGACGGTGGTAATTTGACTCGCACAACTTTGACGCATTTCAAGTTTTTGATGGCTGTGCGATTTGTGCATCGACATCGACGATATCAAAGCAGATGAGTTTGGCGTTGGCATTGTGTCATCAGAAATTTCCGTGGGTGTACGTATCGAAGGTGTTGCTGCTGCGGAGGCTGCTAAGGTTGGTGTTGTCTTTGATGCCGCGGCCGCAGCTGAGGCTGCCACCATAGCCGATGTGGTGGCCAGAGCTATGTTTGAGGAACTGGCAAATTTAGCCGTCGACAAGAAGGAGACTTTATTAGGTGGCGGTGGTATGGTAATGGGCGTCAGAGCAAATGTACAATGTTTGCCCGATGGCCCTGCAGTCATGGGTGTGGTGGCCGCACTCAACGAACCGGGTGAATTGAGGGCCGTGTGATGTGGTGAGAGTCCGGAATTTAGTGACAAACTTGTCATGGACGAAGGCGTCAAGGCATTGGCACTGGCTGTACCCGTTGGCACCGGTGGTGTTATGGTCACGATGGCTTTGGTGATATTAGACATTGTGGTCGCCGCACCAAAGTGTACACCTGAGGATCGTCGGCGTTGACGATGATTGTGGCGATGAAAACTTTGACACCTTGTACAGGTCCGGGATTCACGCTGCTGTTGCTGTTGTTGGGGTGATTGTTGCTGGGAATGGTGGTGATGATGATGATGGTGGTGTAGAACACTGTTTCTACCGCAGTTGCTGCTCCCGCTACAGGAACTGCAACTGCTAAGCTGGCGTCACATCATCGTGCGATTGTCATTGAACTGATTCACGGACTGATAGCCAAATGAGGTGGAAGCAGCCACCATTGCAGCAGCCACATGACACTGCGGGAGCAGAATCCACAAAGTAACCATGACGCAGAATTATGTGAGTGACCACATCCCGCAACAGAAAGGAAATTTGACATGAAAAAAGGAAAATGGAAAAAAGAGAGAGAACAATAAACAATTATTAATAATTTTCGCATTTGGCATATTCCACAAAAACAAAGCGAATAAAACAATCATAAAGTTAAATTCCCTTTTCATTGTTATTGTTGTTGGTTTTTGTTTGTTTTGGTGTTCAGCGCCAGGGGCACTAAAAAGTTTAATTTTTTTATGGCCGCTGAATGTCTGACAATGTCCGGGATTTTTATTTTATGGTTTATGAATAAATTTAACGAGTACCCAGACAGGCATGGTGCCTAGGGTCTGCTGTGTAAGAGTGTTTTTGTTGTTGTTTTTATGTTTCATGGGCCGAAAGGAGGAAATCGGGACAGCCACTTCCCTTTTGCCTTTCAACAATTCACAATTTTTATTTCCACCTCCTCATCCATCAGCTAATGACGGGATGATGAATTAACGAATGACAATCATAAAATTATTACAACATTCATACAATAACAAAAACAACAACAATAATAAAATTGAGTGGAGATATTAATTAATTTATTATTGGCCAATTAGGTTTTGTGTGCATGTCGGAGCAACAAAAAAAGTTTTTTATGCTTGTTGTTGTTTTTGTGGCTTTTTATATGAATATAATTATTTTTTAATGTGTGGTGGCCTTGCTTTGACCCCTTCTCTATCCTTCCCTTTGTATGCCCTGCGCTAAGTCCATTCAATTTAATTACCACCGTTTGCTGCAGCTTTACCAGCATTTGCTGCTAATTACTGTGTAATTTCTAATAAATGCTGAGCTAGCAAAGTAAAGCCTTGCCCCGGCTAGTATGAGTAAATTATAATAATATGAAATATAATTAATGCTACCAGGCGCAATAACTAGATTAGCCGATAAAAAGGGGATTACAATAATCAATGAAGGGCAATAATTGAATATTTTCTGTTAATCACTGATAGAATATTTAATGGTCATTTTATTAATGGCTTTTATAGTGAATAGAGATTAATATAAATTTAAAAAATTAGGGATACTTGGATATTTATTCCGGGAATAATTATTATATTGATATGTAACCAGAGATGAACTTTTATATATCGTGGCCATGTGAAAATAAGGACCTGTATTATTTTTTCGGGGACTATGTCTTTTTTCGAATCGGGAATTCCAAATAATAGCCACATATTTAGAGGATGTAGTTTCGAGTTTCAAGATCCCGAAAATGGTATTTTTATTCAAATTTGCTGTAGTTTTTCCCATGAGTTACAACTTAGAGCTTTTAGTATGAATTAAAAAAAAACAAAACAAAACAGTAATGAAAGTAAGGTCGGACGGGGTCGACTATATGATACCCTTCAACCGATGAATCCTAACAGACGTTGAATGGATCCATAAACATGTCATTCTGCAACCTATACTAAATTTTTCATTTGGTCAGATATAGAGTTGCTATATATATACATATATATAATTTGTGACTTGCCAGAGATTAACTTATATTAACTACAGTTCATTGTACAAAATTGTGTGACAATCGGACAAACTTTGGGTATTTAGTGCACTAGCTATATCTAAATCTGAACCGATTTTCACGACACTTCACACACATCATTCTAGACTTAATTCATTACTTTGGTGCACCATTTACATTAAATCGGAGAAAAATATATATGGGAGATATATCTAAATCTAAATCATTACGCTATTCCAAATTTCGTGCAAATCGAAATATATGTAGGGTCTTTGATACACCATTTACATTAAATCGGACGAAAATATATATGTGAGCTATATATAAATCAGGACGATTTTCAGGAAACTTAACACACTTTGGCACACCATTTACATTAAATCGGACGAAAATATATATATCGAGCTATATCTAAATCTGGACCGATTTTCAGGAAACTTAACACACATCATTCGAGACCTAATTCAGTACGCTGTTCCAAATTTCGTGCAAATCGAGATATATATGGGGACATTGGTGCACCATTTACATTAAATCGGACGAAAACATATATGGGAGCTATATCTAAATCGGATCATAAATGCGACCTATACTTTGTTTACAATTTAACATAGACAGACGGACAGACGGACATGCGTAAATCGACTCAGAAAGTGATTCTATGCATATTCTCAAAAGGAACGATGTGTCTATCTCGTTTCCTTTTGCCAGTTACAAACATATGCACAAAGACATAATACCCTGTACCACAGTGTGGTGAAGGGTATAAAAAATATAAGATATATTTTTTTTTTTTTTGATACAATAGTGAAAATTAGTAGATTATTGTAGTACGGGAACAGACCAAATGTTTATAATTTTTGGTAGAGAGATTTTCTCCCGGAATTTGGGAGATGAATTATATTGGGAAACGTATAAACCCACATAGATTGAAAAAAGAAAAAAAAGAGAGAAATGTGAAAATGTGCCTAATTGAGGTATTGGTTTTAGACGAAATGTGTGATTTGACCAAATCCGTTTCAGAAAATTTCCAAATCCATTATTTTTTTGGCAGATGGCTGTACTGATATATTTCTCGTAAATTATCGATTAAACAATTTCAGATTTATGCTCGTTGAAGGTGCTCGTTTGGTGCATTCAGTTGTGAGTTTATATGGTTTTAAAAAATGGAAGTGAACAAAGAGAAAATTTGGTACAGTTTACAGTTTTTCTTTGACAATGCGAAAATTCACGCCAAGCGGCCAAAATTGTGAATGGTGTTCATGGTTCCGATACTGCAACAATCAATTATGTGCAATTTTGTATTCGTAGATTCCGTACTGGAATGTTTGATGCTAAACATGCACCTTGCACAGGTAGGCCGCCCGAGGAAATTTCGATAAAATCGGAGAAATGATCGAAGTTGACAATCATTAGCAGTCGTAACATCGCCCTGGAGCTAAAAATCGACCATAAAACTGTTTTAAACCATTTACCAAACAAAAAATGGATTTGTTTTCTCTCAACCTAAAATTTACACTGTCCGCATTTCGACATATCTCCAATTTTACATAGTTTCCAGTCGAGTTCAACAGAATTGACATTACAAAGTAGATATTTTTAAGGGTATTAGAACGAAGGTTCTGTAATTTGGTATTCCGGATTATTTTTGGGTAAACAATAACTTTACAATGCCCAAGGTACTTGTTTTGGCATATCTCCAATATAAAGGCATTTTTAAGGTTTGAATTGCTTTGTCCGACAATACGGAATCTTGGTGATTGCTTGCCGAATTCCAAAATCAAACTATACAATGATCATCAAGGCCAAACATAACGTCGTCTGTACTTGTTAGGGTAGCGTCGTCTTTTTATACCCTCCACCATAGTATGGAGGGTATATAAATTTTGTCATTCCGTTTGTAACTCATCGAAATATTAATTTCCGACCCTATAAAGTATATATATTCTTGATTCTTGATCAGGGTAAAAGTATAAGACGATGTAGGCAGGTATGTCCGTCTGTCCGTCCGTTTGTTGTAATCTGAAGAAATTCAGATAGATCGCCAAAATACGGCATTGAGTTGTCTTTTGTTTGCAGGCAGGTCAAGTTCGAAGATGGGCTATATCGGTCCATGTTTAGGCATAGCCCCCATATAAGGGTACCGCCCAATTTTCGATATTTTAGAGTTCTGGAGCACGCTTTTCACAGGAATTCGCAGAAATTTGGGTTATTTTTGTGTACCAAATGTATCCACTAAAAATGACGATACCCCCAATTTTCGATATTTTAGGGTTCTTGAGCTCGTTTTTCAACCGAATCCGCTGAAATTTGGTACAATGGGTTCTTATTGGGTACCAAATTTATCCACTAAAAATTATAAATATAGGTCAATTTTTTCGAGTAGCCCCCATATAAGGGTCCCTCAATTTTCGGTATTTTGGGGTTCTTGAGCGCGTTTTTCAACCGAATTCGCTGAAATTTGATACAATGAGTTCCTATAGGGTACCAAATTTCTCCACAAAAAAATATAAATATACGTCCATATAAGGGCACCCCCAATTTTCGGTATTTTTGGCTTCTTGAGTGCGATTTTCAACCCAATTCGCTGAAATTTGGTACATTGGTATCGTTTTGGATACCAATTGTTTCCACTAAAACAGTGTTGCCAAAACTTTGTTTATAAAAAATGCTAGATTTAGTTTAAAAAAGTGCCAGAAAGTGCTAAAAAAAATTTAAAAAATGCCAAATAAAAGTGCTAAAAATTTTTATAATATAAATTAGTGGAATTGACAGTAATTTGATATTTTTGGATTTTCATTAGGTACAAATTTCCCACCAAAAATTATCAATGAAATTTTGTGGACGTCCGGCACGTTTGACCATGAAGTTGACTATAATTTGAAACCTTTTATTTTAATGGTGTTTCAAATTTCCGAGGTTTGGAGAATGAAATATAGGGGAGACTGGAACGCATTCTGCACTTTTTTAGAGCTCTATATCTCCGTACTTATTTAACAGATATAAAAACTTTATGGCTGATTATTGTCCTCTGACATTTAATTACAAAAATTGGTACCAAAAATATATAATAAATTAGTTAAAAATATTTACAGTTTTTAAATAAAAGGTAAATTCTGGCAAAATAGTCATAGCATGTTAATTATCACCGCTAAAAATAATCCTATTAAAGGATTATTTTTTAAGACGAACTCAAAGACATTTTAAGGAAATAATATAGCAATGGCCGAATGTGCCCCATTTTAAAATGTCGAATCTACCCCGAGAGTACTTTCTATAGTTTTTTTCATTTTTTCTATCAATCTTCCTAAAACATACATTTTTTTAATATTTTGATAAGAAAATTCATTTTAGTTAATGACTTTTTAATAATACCGTCTTAAAATACGAAAAGTTTTATACACGAAATACTTACAAAATGGAATGGAAATATTACCAAAACATCTGTAAAATACAAAAACCCGTGCATCTACATAAGCTTAGCTTGAGATTTCAAACTTTGCG